ATTGTTTGTTCCAGTCCGTCATCGTCCTAGTTCTTTCGTCCTGGGCAGCTTCCGTTCTGGTCATGTCGCTGTTTCGTTCGTACACGCGTTTCCGCTCTCTGGCGAGCATGTTTATCGGGATAACCGCCGCCACCACCAGGACAGCCTCAGCCGAGACTGTCCTGTAGGCGCAGGCTATCCTCAGTGCTCCCTGTCTTTGTACGTTTGTCAGTCGTTTGCAGTATTTCTTGACCCTCAACGCGTCGGCCCACACCTCCGCCCCGTAGAGCATGATCGAGTGGGTCGTTGTCATCAGTAGTCGTCTCTTCCATTGTCTCGGTCCAAATGTATTTGCCATAAGACGACTGAGAGCGGAAGTCCTCTCTGCCGCCTTCCTCGCTGTCTGTTGTATGTGCGGCCAGAAGGTCATCTTCGTATCTAGGGTCACCCCCAGATACTCGACCGCCCTACTGGTCCGCAGCGATACCTCTCCGACTATCATGGGAATCAGGGTATTAATCCTGCTTCCCGTCAGAAGGATGAGTTCTGTCTTGGCCAGGGCAAGGCTAAGTCCGCGTTCAGTCATCCATCTATTGATTCGTAACATCGCGCGGTTCAGAAGCATTTGCGCCAGCTCCGGGGTACGGGCTATTATCACCACAGCCACATCATCGGCGTAGGCAACCAGCTCCACCCCCGGTGGCATCGGTAGTCTTAGTAGTGCGTCGTACAGTATGTTCCAGAAGTCGGGTCCAAGGATTGAACCTTGGGCGACTCCTGCTGTGATTCGTCTGGTCACTGTTCTGTCGGTCGTCTCGTATCGAATCCATCTGTCGTGTAGGTACTCCCTCATCACCCGCATCAGGTATTCGGGAACCCTGAAAGTTTGTAGGGCCTCCAGAATATCCCCCCACCGAGCGGAGTTGAAGGCATTCCTGACATCAAGAGTCGCGAGAAGTACTATTGGCCTCGCTCCGTAGCACACGAGCCTCGTCCGCCGAAAGGCGTCGGTCACTTGTCGAATCGCCCCTATAGTTGAGCAGCCCCGTCTGAATCCGTACTGGTTTCCTGCAAGTCCTCCGTTTGCAGTTACCGCGTTCGTCAGTCTTGGTTTCAATAACGCTTCGTAAAGTTTACCCGCTGTGTCTAGAAGACTCAGGGGCCTATAGGAAGACGGACTATTCGGCTCTCCTTTTCCTTTATGCAGGAGAACCAGTCTAGCAGTCTTCCATCGTCTGGGAAAAATGCCCGCACGTAAGACCGCGTTATACTTATCCAGGAGGAGTCCTGGACGTACGCCCACGATCTGCTGGAGGATCTCTCCCGGTATACCGTCTGGTCCGGGTGCCTTACCAGGCTTGATCGTGGACACAGCCTTAATAAGCTCTGCCCCGACAAACTCTGGCACTGTCGTCTCTTGTTCGTTCGTCATTTCTTCCGTCTCTGGTTGGTTTGGGAAAAGTCCATCTACTATTGCTTTCATGGTGTCTTTGTCTTTTGGTTCAGAAGGGCCAAGGGCCCCCAGTTTCTTGGTCACAATCTTGTAGCCAAGTCCCCAGGGGTCCCGCTGCACTTCTTCACACAACTGTCTAGCGCATCGGTTTTTACTGTCCTTTATTTTAGTAGTCAGTCTCTTACGTGCCATCTTGTACGCTGTCGATAGTTCGTCCGCGTCTGGTCTGCTCTTTTTCCGTGCGCGGTTCATCCTCCGGCGGCAGGCAATGCATTCCCCACGGAGGAGGCCAATCTCGTCCGTCCACCAGTACATTGCTCGTTTGTACGTTCGGCCCTTGCGTTGAGTCATCGTGGCGTCGCACAGTTCCGTTATCAGTTCCATTGTCTTGTCCGTTATCCATTCGGCACGCTCCCGCAGACCAAGCTCTGCCGGGACAGACTCGGCGGGTAACGGTGCCTCCCTTAGCAGTTTGTCAAACAGCTCTCTATCTTGTCGTCGTAAGTTCCAATACGTTGAAGTCCTGTCTCTAGTTTGTCCGTTTCGTATGTTCGTCGATTGATCTGTCACCTCAAAGACGATGTGCTGATGATCGCTGGCTGTATAGTCCTCGGTCACCCGCCATCCTCTTATCCGCGACGAGATCCTGTCTGACGTCATCGTCACATCGGGTATTGAGTATCCGAAGCCCGGTCGTCTATAGGTCGTTGTCGTCCCTTGGTTGACCACTACCAGATCAAGCCTTGCGGCCATTTCCAGAAGCAGCCTTCCTCGTTTGTCCGTCGTTGTCATACCCCACTCGACCGCTCTTGCGTTCATGTCTCCCGCGACGACAAAGTCACCCGGGAGACCTGTGAGGGCGTCTTCCAGCTTACCGACTTTTTCCTCGTACACTGCCATCGTGCAGTTTGGGGTCAAATATACGCTAACGTAGGTGACGGAATCTACCCTCACCCACGCGTAATCTTCCCCCCTGCCAGACGCTTGTATTCTCCTAGCCGGTTTGCCATTGACCCATATGGCCGACGTACCGAGGGTATTCGAGAACCAGCCGTCCTGTTCTCGTAAGTCCCACAGTTGCTCGCTCAGTATCAGTATGTCTACGTTTCGTTCCTTCGCTGTCTGTGATATAAGCAGCTGGGCTGCCTCGCACCTACGCAGGTTTCCTTGTAAGATTCCTGTCATTGTCGTGTCTGCTTCCGGCACTCCTCCAGCGCTGCCCGGTAGGCCGCGCACGCTCCCGTTCCCGGGACGTGCGCCCTCTCCGTTGCACGCGCCTCGGAACATAGGAAGCACGTCGGCTGTTTGGTGGGGCAGGCTCTCCCGACATGGCCGGTCCCCCCGCACCTCCAACAGCACTGTCCTCTGTCAGGTCCTGTGCAGTCCGTTCGTCTATGTCCGTATCCGAGGCACCGGTAGCACCTCGGGACCGTCAATCTTTCTCTCAGCCGACAGTTGACCCGGCCGATCTTGATTCTGCCCTTCTTGAGCAGTTTGTGGGCCGTGTCTCTGTCTGCTTCGAACACTGCCATACAAACGTCGTGTTTATTCGGTCCGAAAATATGGATCTTAAAGTCCGCATCTTGTCCTGTTTCTCGTTTCAATGCGTTCTGTACATCATTCGTGTCTGTAACACAGTCGAGGTCTAGTATCTCTAGCGTCTGTCCGTGTGTCATGTCTCGTACATTACCCTCATTTCCAAGAGTAACCTGGAGTTTCTCCTGGAACTTCCGTCTTGCGTCTGCGTTACAGCGAAAGCGCATGAGGAGTCCTCCGTCCTTAGTCTTCCGATATCCCGAGATACTCACTTTAGAGCCCTCGGGATTAATCTCCGTCTTTAGTCGGCGCAGGATATCCGCGTACGTTCGTCCGTCGTTTGGCCGTACCAGTATAACGTTGGTCCCCCCCTTCCGGCGGGAACCAGCCGCCCTGGGCCGGTTCTTGTCTAGTTCGGGCCGTTTGTTCCCGTGGATAGGCGCCGCCGCTGCGGATGTCGAAGCTAGTGGCCTCTCCCTCCGCGCGCCCAGCGCCACCACAGGGGTAGTCTGTTGCGTCTTCTGTTTGAGGGAAGTCGTCTCCGTCATTTGGTCATTAGTCTTCTGTTTAGACTTCCTCTTTTTTCTGTTCGCGGAGTTCACCGTGGTCCAGCCTGACTCGTCCGCAACCCTTTGATAGGCCACGGCTTGCTCAGGGCTGGCCCCCGTGTCCTCCCTCTTTCTTTTCTGTCTTTCTGTCCTCCTATCGTTTACGGACTCCAGGAGGGGATTTAGGCGGTCGCATTCACTCCATGCAATCTCCACCGCCTCCTTTATTACAGCCATACTAGTCGTTATGTCCGTACTAATATTTCTCTGTATCTTAGTCCGTGCCTCCATCTTTTCGAGCGCGGCATCAATGCGCCTGAGCTGCGTGCGAAACAGCTGGAGGTTTTCTGTCATATGTCCGTTGTCATTGTCCACGTCTTTCATGTCGGCGTCAGTGTTGGAGGTCTGCTTTTCGGAGCCCTCGTTTTTCCGCGCAGGTGGCACTTGTATGCGCCGCAGCGGTACCGTCACGTCTCGTGTATCACTAGTTCTTGTCGGTGTTCGTCCTGTCGTTGGTTCTTGGCCCTCAGCGGCAGAGACGTAGCTCACCCCGCTGCCGCCGCTTGACCCACTGTCCGTCCTCTGTCGTCTCGGTATGTTCAGTAGTTTCTTGTCGTTTTTTCTTGTCTTTCCCCCCATTCCCGTGCACAAAGTGCGGCCCTCAAAATCTGTGCCGCTGCCCGTGGCCACCGGGGCTTTCACCCGATCGGAACCCGGGGTGGATTCCTCCTGAGAAGGAGTTACCACTTGAGGTACATCAATGTTTTCATTGTGCATATTCATATTGTTGGTTTTGTCCCGTTGTGCTGAAGTTCCCTCGTGGTCGCGACTCCACGAACCGCGCTGGGACAACGCACGGCCCCTGAGGTCCCCCCCCTGTATGTTTACCCTGTGTGTTCAGTGTTCCCCCCTGTGGTGTGTGCGTGTACGTGAGTGCCCATAGGCGAAACCGGGCTTCATTCACGGGGAGAGTCCGTTTAGAGATATCCCCTTCTCTCGCTTTCGGGCGGCTTCGTTTATAGGAGTCCCCGACCATTCGCTTTTCGGTAAGACCCGTTTATAGGGTCACCGAGCATTCACTTCTCCGGTTTGCCAGAAGGCGTGTGTGTGTGAGTGTTCGCGTAGTGTGTGTGTGTGTATGTGTATGAGTGATTAATGGTTGGACACATCGGCAGAATACCATTATCTTTTGCGTCATTTGTGAGCCATATCTTCCTCTTGGCCGTGTCCGTTATAGCGTTGCTGCTCAGAGCATTGACGCGACGGACAACGTTTCCACCGGGCACGTCGTGGGCGTTGGAAGCAAGCATTAGCCCAGTGAGGTGTTACCACTCACTGGACCAGCCCGGCATTATTATTATTATTATTATTATTATTATTATTATTATTATTATTATTATTATTATTAAATTAGGATATAAAATATTTTTTTTAACAGTTGTCTAACAGATAACAAATATTTACTATCAAACCAATTTTTCTAGGTTGGTCACACATTTTTATTGGGTACTAAATATTCTGAGTCATTAAAAGCTACGTTCATTGACAATAATAACAAGAAACAACACCTATTAATGGGATGTTATGGTTTAGGTATTACACGTATATTAGCAGCAGCTATTGAAATCTTATCATCAAATTCAGAAATAAGATGGCCCTTAAAATTTGTTCCCTATAAGATATGTATAATTCCACCCAAGGTAAGAAAATTATTTATGATCTCATTTAATCTTATCTTCTTTTCTTATGAATCCAATTTTTATGTAGTGTTTTATATAGTCTAATCATAAGAAAACATGAGCACAGTATCGTGATGCGCATTGATCTCCCTCTTTTTCTTTCTCTCTGTATGATGTTACTTATCACCTATTATTTGTATTTGGTTCGTACTCTCATGGTCTGTTGCGTTATTGAGTAAGAATTCGTTTGAAATTGAAGTAATGATATTAATATTAAATTTAAAAATTAAGCTTATACCATGAAATATATATGATTGTTTGGAATGAAATTAAGGATAAATAAACTTTACCCTAGTTTCTTACCCTATATGCGAAGTGTCCTATAAGCAAAGCCTAAGTCTTTCTTTGAAAAAGGATGTGAGTCAGCCTAAGTTTCTTATAGCGCGAAGTGTTCTATGAGTCAAGCATAAATCTCAATAGGAGAGGCTTGCTTAGCTAATCACAAAAGAGAAACAACTTAGGTATAAGCCAAGTTTATTCAATCTCAAACGCTCACTTTGCACGGCTAAGAGAGAATACCTCTCACATGTGCAAAATTGAGCCTATTTATAAACAAATTTTAGAGCTCCATTTACACAGGATAGCCCTTCTCACGCTGTTTCTGTAAATGTGCAAAATCATTTTCTCTTGTTTACAATAAAATGGACAGTGCTAAAGAAATTTAAAATAGTGCAAAAAATACAGAGCGTAATATAGATAATTTAAGCATAATTTGCATTTATCGCAAAAATCATTGTAAAAAGTTATTAACTAACAAAGTTAGTTAATTCAATTTTATAACAAAATAATTAAAATTCTTTACATAGAAAAATAACTTATTGCTTATAGACATTATTACAAATAAGAAATACTAATAATTGTTTAATAATATTTGAATAATCATTAATTTATGTTTTTGACCAAATCTTATAACGTAAATATAGAATCAGCTATTTAAAATGATCAATTCTAACAATTCTGTTAGTAAGTACAAAATCAACGCTTTCGATTAATATATTTTTATTTGTTTAAATAAATTATTGATTATTTATTTATTGATAACAATAGTATTTAAGTTGATATCAATAAAACGAATTCTTATTCATGTGCCTAGGATTGTTATCATGACCTTAGAGTATTCGCTTTATTACAATAATTAATATTTGTAAAGTTATAAATAAATTAAGTTTGCACATTAAAATTCAGTAATATTCAATAGTTAAAAGTACTTTAAAATATTATAATCTTAATTTATGCTCTAAAATCTATATAAGAAATACTTTGGTTCATTAAAATTACTTTTAATAACGTATTTTAAATGAACAATAAAAATTGGCCTATCTATATCTATAAGTAGAGTGACGTCACGCTCCTTATATGGTCATGAAATTTGACTCTTGCACTAATGCAATCATATAATATGTAAGGTGGCGCGTTTAATATACTAATTGATAGGTGTAGATTTGCGAGTTTAGCAGGTTGCCGTAATACAGTGCAAATGAGAAAATAGTCTAGGAACTCATAGATAGGATCGTTACATCAGTCATTCTAAAACGATAGTTGAGATGCGTAAGTCCTTAAATGCGTTTAATACTTCGAGCTTCTGTGTTATAAAATTTTTGTATCCAAATGGTGATAAATAGTAACTTTCAAGGAAACTCGCGCGTGTCTATACGTCGGCCCGTATATTCTCCATGTATCTTCGGACGAACCCAAATGCACATTATCAATAGCATAATGGAGATCGTTTTGAGCGACCAATTTTTCATAACAGTTATTCAGCCAAGATGTTCGCCTCTTGCAGTTAACAACGTACAGCGAAATACTATTCTGCCGCAATAAGTGAAATCAATGCAAGATGTCTGAACAAGTATAAGAAAATAATATTTTTCGATTTCACTTAAATACGAGTATACTCGGTATAGTAATATTTAAGGAAAAAATACACGTCACGTTTATTTACCTGCCGGGATTAAACGATATCTAGGCTTAGCTGTTAGAGCATTGGTCGCGGCTTACCTTGATAGCAATACTCGGGTCCAAGTTTATGTAAATTGTTGTTTTGACCTTTTATCCAGCCTATCCTTGGACTGCTAAGATTAATATGTAAAGTCAGGCAAGATCAAGGACAGTTCAGGTACTAATTAGGTAAATAATTGAATTATAATTTGATGAACCGCTTTATTAAATAAAAGAATTTATGTTATATTTTTAGCGTGTAAAAATATAACATAAATTCGGTGTAGAGTGTAAATGTATATATGAGTGTGGGGACTCGGTAATTATAATTATTGACAAGGAAAACAAAATTTAAATAGAATTAATAATCGAATGAGAATCCATGTTGACGATCATGAGAAACAATCGGCAATATTGCTGAAAGTACAAACGCGTGAGCTCTATAACATATTTTTCATTGCACTACTTTAATAAATTTCAACTTCACCGAGAGGCAGTGCATTTACACAGGACGGTTAAATAAGTAATTGGATTTGAATAAACAAACTGGTTAGTAAACTAGTCGTGCAGTACATACTTTTTAAATTTAGGCAAAGTTGATAACTTGCATAATCCGTTATGCGTTGTTGCCATTAGTATAATAATTACAATGAATGAATGTGACCATCTAATAAATAAATTCCGGCACGTTAAGCACTAGCGGACTATAATGCATTTTTATACAATGCAGAATTAAAATGATCGCTGTGAAAAATCGCAAAGTAATTCCAAAAAAGTCGGAACCAAAGCGTTCGTACTTGGCTAAAGCCATCGGCAAACTCTAGCTAATTCTTCCCCTTCCTATTCTTTTTAGCCATGAATATTAATTAACAAGTAGTATCTATTTTGATTCCGATAATTCGAGTATGTAGCTATCTCTCTTGTTGTCTTTAATGAAGTTATGGTCTGTCTCTGTCTTAGACAAATTTCGTGTGAAATGCTGTCTGTCCTTTTCTACTTATCGGCTATCTCTTGCTACTTATTATATGACTAGGTACTAGTATCGAGAATAGATTTTATGTTAATTTTGATGTAAAAATGAGAAAGAATAATTAATATATTTTTATATATAAATTCGAATTAATTTTGTATACTTTCACATAACAATTGCGCATTCAAATTATATTTGATATTTATATATTTTAGAATTCCTTCATGATTCTTCTCAGCGTTGTTGTAGAATTTTCTCTCCTCTCTTGCTTCTCTGATTTATTTATTACGTCGGTTCTGGGACGGAATAATGGAAAATTAGCTAGTTCAAATATTTTTCAGAAAAATGACTTTTTGCTCATCGCCCTACAGCACATGAAAAGAAAAAAGAACTAAATAAATAAACGGTTAGTAATGATTCTTAAAATTGGATACACTAGTGTAATATGGTTACTGCTTTTGTTACGCGGCAATAAAACTTATAGGGTGTTGATAATTTCATTCGCTTTTTTTGTTGGGCGGACATAGCTCCTTATCTGCGATTTTGTTTACCTCCCGTAAAAATCTTGGATTCTCTCGCCATTTTGGTTTAAATATTTGATCAGTTGTAGTAGAATTCTTCCCATTCTGTTCTTCTCTTTTATACTTAGATGATAGAAATTTGCACCTATACACTCTATAATTATATTTAACAGAATACTGGAAAACGAGACAATGTCGGTGTAATCGTTTTTATAAACGTTACCTTTCTCTACGTAAACCAATACATTTTTATCTCGCTCTCCAATTTTCGGGTATTTTGTAACTTTTTGCACAGGTAAAAACTCTTTTGTATATTACGGACGATTAGAGATTCGGTCTTGGAATATTGGACATCATTACTTATTTCTATAATTTATCGTATCTTAGTATTTTCTATTTGACTTTTGCTTAGTAAAGCGATGTGAGCGTGGATTGAAACTATCGATTTCTGTGGATTTTGGTCGGTATGATCGATGCCTGTATAGTAGCCTGATGGCAACTAGTGCCTTGAATATGTTCCGTATGTGGCACAAAGCGACTTATCTCGGGCTGATAGGCTTGTGAGATATTTACGACCGATCAACGGATTGTCTAAAGATGGGGACATACAAGGTCTGTTCAAAAAGTATCGCGAATTTTGTATGTTTTCAAAAATTATTTATTTATTCATGAATATCTATTTTATCTCCTTCAAAGTAATCTCCCTCGGATATAATGCATTTGTGCCAATGTTTTTTCCAATTCACGAAGCACTGAAAAAAATCATTTTTTGTGATCTTGTTCAGCTCCTCCTTCGATGCTATCTTTATCTCTTCAATAATGGCGTAGTGTCGTCCTTTCATGGTCCTCTTCAGCTTTGGGAACAAGAAAAAGTCGCAAGGGACTAGATCAGGGGAATACGGTGGCTGCGGCACCATTACTGTGTTATTTTTGGCCAAATATTCGCGCACAAGCAACGATATGTGAGCAAGGGTGTTATCATGGTGCAAAAGTCAGTTTTTGTTCTTCCACAAATCCGGACGTTTCTGGCGGATTGCTTCGTATAAATTGCGCATAACTTGCAGGTAATATTCCTTATTGACCGTATCATCCTGTGACAAGAACTCATGATATATCACGGCCCTGTTATAGAAGAAAACTGTGAGCAAAACCTTCACGTTCGACCGAACTTGCGCGCGCTTTTTTCGGTCTTGGCTCATGCCGTAGCTTCCATTGGGATGATTGAGCTATGGTTTCCACATAATAACCATAATTCATCATCAGTTATGATCCTCTGGAGCACATTTAGGTCGTCACAGACCAAGTCCAACATCTCCTGAGCAATGTTGACACGATGCTGTTTTTGGTCAAAATTGAGCAGTTTTGGCACAGATTTCGCGGCGACCTGACTCATGCCCAAATCATTGGTTAAAATCGAATGGCATGAGCCAATCGATATGTTTAAATCCTCAAAATCTTCTCTAGATGGGCCAATACTATTTTCTGCACTTTATCAATATTTTCGTCTGTTGTTGACGTGCTCGGGCGTCCAG